CTACAGAGAGTCTCCTAAGCAAGCTGGTCCTGGGGCTCTGTTCACAAACACAAACAGACCCCACAGAGCCCCAGGATAGCAACACAAATAGACCCAACCGAATCATGAGAAAACAAAAAGATAATTACTTGACACGTTGGAAAGAATTTACAAACAAACTGAACAAACTACAATGCTATTTGGCCCTAAACAGAGAGTACACAGTGGCAGAATACCTGACCACTGTGACTGACCCAAAATTAAGGAAGTCTTTGACTATGTAAAGACTTAGTGAGCATAGCCTTGCTATTGAGAAAGGCCGCCGTAGGCAGAACCTGGCTCTCAAGAGAAGATAGGCTATGTGCACACTGCCCACAAAATGAGGTGGAAACTGAGCTGCACTTCCTAACCTCCTGCCAAATATATGACCATAAGATTACACAGAACCACAAAGAATTCGAAAACAAATCCAATTTTGATAAACTCCCATATCTATTGGGTGAAATACCACAGTGTGCAATCACAGCAGCAAGATTTGTGACCTGTTGCCACAAGAAAAGGGAAACACAAACACCATTGTAAATACAACCAGTATGAAAAATAAAAGAATGTATGCACTCACTAACTGTAAGTCGCTCTGGATAAGAGGGAGAGAGAGAGAGGGAGAGAGAGAGAGAGAGAGAGAGGTAATGAAACAGGACCTCCTAATTTAGTTTGACATTTAAGATTACATATTTTGAATCACGTTGCCTCCTTTCAAATGAGCCTCTGTATCGTTGTGATTGGCCTGATGTCTCTCTACTTCTGAGGTGTAACAGGAGCCACCGCTCCTCCGCTCGCAGCTTCGTCACTGACTGACTGACCGCGGGGGTTACTAGGCATGTTATTGATTATAGCCCAGTGGGCTGCAGAAAAGTACATTTGATGCTTCTGAAATGGCAGGTGTGAAATGGTTTCCCTATACAATGCAATTTCCCCGTACAATGCCGTTTTACCATACAATTCAGTTTTTCCATACAATAAAAAAAAAAAAATCTTCAGTGGCTTCTGTGGCGATGTTTTGGTGCAAGATTATTACGTTTGCATGATAATCATCTGGGAGTAAGATTGAAGTTCTGTGGGTGATCTTGGCATTTTTATGGGTTGATTACTTTGTTGGAATGGGGAGTTGTAGACTCAATTAGCTGGTTGGATGGGAATATGAGCATACCTTTGTGTTCAGTAATCTGCCATAAACCTATTTTCTTCCTATCTACTATCTTAATGGCTACATCCCAAATGGCACCCTATTCTCTACATAGTACACTACTTTTGACCAGAGCCCCATGGACCCTGGTCAAACGTAGTGCACTAAATAGGGAATAGGGTGCCATTTGGAACGCAATCTATGTCTTATGAAAGACCTGTCATGGATTGGGTTGGGGCAGGAGTGTCAGTCTCATTCATCAGGCTTTAAACTGAAGGAGCCTCTCAGAGTTGACTTAACAACACTATCTCACTATACAAGTCCTTGTACTGTTTGTTCATGCTGTACATATTACTGTCTGCATATTTCTTTCTTGCCGTCATAATGGCATAACATGTTGACTAGTCTGGTGTGATGAGAAACAGACTGAGATTTTTGTATATTTTTTTTAATGCCATTTAGCAGACGCTTTTATCCAAAGAGACTTACAGTCATGCGTGCATACATTTTTTGTGTATGGGTGGTCCCGGGGATCGAACCCACTACCTTGGCGTTACAAGCGCTGTGCTCTACCAGCTGAGCTACAGAGGACCACAGGACCACAGGACTTGAGTGAACTGTGTCATTTCAACCAGTTTTGCATCACTGGGTAGCTTTTCCCTGCACTGGTAAATAGACCTATGTTTGATTTTCTGAGAACTTTTTCTATCACATTTAATCACTGTTGACCAGTAGGGCCTCTATACTAGGCGGTTGCATCAGAACTCATGGCACCACCTCAGCCAAGGTAGAGATTAGAAAGCACTAGAGGAAAAACCTGGAGCCATAGCCCATACCTACTGCTCTGTATTCAGGCCCAGAACCTGGAGCCATAGCCCATACCTACTGCTCTGTATTCAGGCCCAGAACCTGGAGCCATAGCCCATACCTACTGCTCTGTATTCAGGCCCAGAACCTGGAGCCATAGCCCATACCTACTGCTCTGTATTCTGGCCCAGAACCTGGAGCCATAGCCCATACCTACTGCTCTGTATTCAGGCCCAGAACCTGGAGCCATAGCCCATACCTACTGCTCTGTATTCAGGCCCAGAACCTGGAGCCATAGCCCATACCTACTGCTCTGTATTCAGGTTCCGAACTGTCCATGTTTTTGTTGTCTCTTCTTCAAAAGGCATATTATACTTTATTAAGTAAGTTCTTGAGGTAGGCACAATAACAGACAAGGAGCACCATAATATAGGAAAATAAAGGGTATTGTGTTACAGGACGGGGTCGCAGTTCCGGAGCGACCCACTAGGTATCATCCTCCGACAACCTTAGGCACCTCCTCACTCACAGTCTGGACTAATCACGATCCTATTGGTGTCACCTGTGTCTACCTGTTCACCTGTGTATTTATGCCCTCACTTCCCTGTGTTCCCTTGCTCAGTTTTCTCTGCTAGTTTCTCTATGCTCAGCAGTACTAATCAGAGTCTGATCGGATAAGTATTTACAGGTACTCGAGAAATGTTCTCCCTGTTTCTTTATTATTTCAGTCATAGTTACTATTTCGTATTTTGGCTGTCAGCCTGTTTTTGGAGACTTATTTGCTCCACCTTTCTTTTATCGTGTTAAGTCCGTTGTTTTGTATCCTGGCTTCGGGACCACCAGTAAAGATCCTTGTTTCACCATCTCTGCCTACTGCCTACTGTCTATCCTGCACTGCACCTGGGTCACACCTCACACCAACCCTTACAGTATTGGTGGGGGTGAATGAGGTAAGGGGGATGAAAAGGTTGATGTGAATTGACTGGTACAGTAGGAACAGGAACAGTGCAGATGCCTGGGAGCTATACGAGCCAATTATTCTGTCTTTTGATGGGGAATTGGAATGGTAATGTCCTGCCCATTCCCCTGAAGTTTTAATGTAATTGTACGGCATATAAGGGCTAAAAAACTTTTCTCTTTTATGAGTCGGGAGACATTTCATGCTAAATCACCCTCCTCTGGTGAGGAACTCGAGCCGGGGATGGAACCACTGTAGCGCTGCTCTCGCTTTTTCCTAGTGAGATTACGAAAGAGACAGACACAGTGCTTCTGGGCCAGGTAATACACAGTGCTTCAGAATATTATTTTGTCTGAGATGTGATTAAGGATTATTTTTTTATTTTTTTTGAAGGGTTTACATGAATTCAAAGTTTATTAAAATGTTTAATCCCAACGATTCTTCTACTCCGCGTGGGGGTGGGATGAGATGGACTATTTTGTTTACCCACAAGTACTCTCTGGTATTCTTCTGAACACAGATCAGCTGACATTTTCTCTACTTTCACCATACTCTAACATTGATTTGTTGTTGAATGCTAATACCGTTGCTTGAAGACTGATTTACCCCTTCTTGAAGCTGGTCGGGTAAACGCTCTGTCTTGTGTAGTAGTTTTGAGTTAGTCTTTGGGCTAATTTTAGGAGAGGTTAATGAAGCCATTCCAATGGGTGTGATTCGATAATGAGGCCTTGTTGGGAAAGCGTTTCCAAGCTCTGGGACAAATTTACACAATCCCCACAGTTTTCAGCCCAGTTTAATTTAAACTCTCGTAGGTGTTAGTTTTCGGGGTCAGAGTCTGTCGGCTGCGGATTGTAACACGTTTATTAACTATGTGTTTTTTGTGCATTAAAGTCGTAGACCCAGAGAACAAGTTGAAAAGAATGCCTTTAAAACACTAGGCCAATTATTCATTGTTTCATTGTTGATTAATCATGAGTTAATTCATTTATTTTGATTCATAACATGCTTTGTGGTTGTAAAACTCCACTTTGGCCAGAGGGATGGGAGCTATCCAACAGTGACTTGGTAATGAGCTATCCAACAGTGACTTGGTAATGATAGAAACAGGGTGTGGTGACTGATGAGATTTCGATTACAGATTTAATTTTTTCTACGGCTTTTACGAACATGGGTTAAGGCGTTGTCCCTTACAAACATAAATTGCTTTATTTAATACCCATTTGCTTTACAACCTAAATTAGGAAATTGCACTCCATATTTTTAAATGGAGAAGAAATGAGACTGGGATTATGAGGAATTCTAAGCACCCTGGATGGGGAGAATCAAGGTTTAGTGAATTTAGACATGCACACACATGCACACACACACGTACGCACGCACACACACACACACACACACTGAAACAAACTCTGAAAATTGCTCTCATGCTGATCCCCTCCGTCCTACAAATTTCTTGAATTCAGTTTGTGCTGCAGCAATGCCGACTTAATGGTTTATTTTATTTTGAGTGCAATTTCTTAACCATTGTATGCTAGACATAAACAAGGACAAATGATTTTGTTGAACATTGACTGTAATTCAACAATATAATCAGTTTACACATTCCAATTTCATTCCTTCTAACTTAATACTCAACTACTTTAACAGCCACTTCACAAGCCTTATCAGTAACTATAGGCACAGATTGTATTTATCAAAACACTCAGCATCTGGAGTCGTTACTGGTTATAGAGAATGAGTTCTGTTTATGGCCCAGAGCTGAACAGCCGCCATTGTTTTAAGTTGTACAAAAAAATAACTTATTTTTAGCTTTGTTGTATTTCATGGAGGAACTCTTGAAAGTTTGTATGTACTGATTGTGAGAGAGCGAGAGACAAAAAACAGAACCACCACTGTCTCCATCTTATTTGATACAGCCTTCGATTGATGTGGTTCTTGAAAAGAGATCCAGTTCACTTAATCATTTTCCCTCATTCCACTATCCCTGTGTTTAATATACTGTACTTATTCCTCAATGAAGCATGACACTAAAACATTTCTCTCTTGTCTGTCTGTCTGTGCTGCCTGCAGATATGGTGAGGAAAAAGAACCCCCCTTTGAGAAGCTTTGGTGGTGAGGAGGAAGGCGAAGGAGAGGCTCTGGCCTCGGAGGCCACCGGTCCGGATAGCGAGGACAGTGCTGGGAGCCAGGCCTCAGAGCCCAACGGTGCCGACGGGCTGTTGCCAGCCGAACCGGGCCGGGCCCACGTGCCAGTCCCAGACGAGCAGGAGGACCCGGGCTCCGTCTCAGGCTCCATCAAAAGGGATGGAGGAGGAGGGAGGGGGGGTGGAGGAGCAGGAACAGCGCCGACAGTCGGCAGCGACACTCCTGGCTTTAATTACCCCAGCCACAAGAAGGGAGGAAATGTAGCGTCCTTCCCCTGCCATGAGGTGACATACTCAGATCTGCCGGCTTTCCCATCCCGGGCCCAGCCCGATGGGACTGTGTCTCTGTCTCCGCTCAGATCAGAACCAGATGAGGGGGGAGGGGGTCAGGCACACAGCCCGGCAGGGGAGCTGCTGCTGGGGGAGAGGGGGGAGGCCGGGGAGGGAGGAGGGGGAGAAAGGGTTGGTGTCAGGGAGGGTCTGCTGCTGCTGGGCGCCCAGGGGAGGAGCTACAGCAGTTCCAGCGGCGTCATCGTCCAGGGCGTCACCCGTAACGGCGAGGACAGGGACCACTCCTACAGCCCCACAGGGGGTCTCTCAGGCCACCAGGACGGGGTGGATGGCTCTGGATACCCCTTGCTACGCCCCCTCCACCTACACAGGGGAGTAGGCGAGGGGGCCGAAGACACCATGCCCAGTCCCCTGGGGGCCGAGACAGGGGTACCCGCTCCCTCCTCTCCCAAACTGCAGGACTTCAAGTGCAACATCTGTGGGTATGGTTACTACGGGAACGACCCTACAGACCTGATCAAACACTTCCGGAAGTACCACCTGGGCCTGCACAACCGCACGCGGCAGGACGCAGAGCTGGACAGTAAGATACTGGCCCTGCACAACATGGTGGGCTTCTCCCCACAGAGCCTCCACGCCAAAGACGCTACACGGCCCCCATCCCACGCCGCCCTGACCGGGGCGCTACAGGATGCTACAGGGTCCACACGGTTGTTACTCAATGGCACCTACGACGTACAGGTAAATATGCTGTGCACACCATTTTCTATCAATTCTTTGTGTAATTCAACAGTGCGTAGGTTAGTGGGTATGTGTTGGTCTTATATAACCAAAGAATTTCCAAGTACCAGAACGCCCGTCAGTAGTACTGTATAATGGTAGAGTCCCTGCCCGACTAGATGCCCAGGCGTTGCATTGCATCAACCAATTGTTACCTGACACATCATCGACTGTGCAGTCGGGAATCAGATTGCTATATCATTTGATGTGGTTTGCTGATATGTTAAATATTTATCCATGCGTTGTAAGATCTGGCATGTGTCTGCAATGTAGTCGGAGAGGAACTCGACCATTCTCTGCATTGAGACCCAGGCCAGCCGGGGTATGAGACTTGTCTCTTAGTGGGACACTTGAGTCATCAGAGTGACTGGCCACCCACGGAGAGAGGCCTCATGGGAACTGTAGTCTGTTTTATCACTGTCATAAATACATCTCAACCTGAAACATTACATTCATGGACTGCGGTTTAGCCATTACTTTAAAGCTGCAATATGTAACCTTTTGGCCACCCGACCAAAATCACATAGAAAGGTGAGTTATAGATCTGTCATTCTCATTGAAAGCAAGTCTAACAAGTGGTAGATCTGTTCTATGTGCGCTATTTCTATGCTTCCCGTTCTTTAGTTTTTGTTACTTTTGGTTTTGTACACCAGCTTCAAACAGCTGAAAATATAATATTTTGGGTTATTGAAAATATATTTCACTGCGGTTGTTTTGTCACATAAACTGAAATTAGGCAAACTATTTGATTTTTAGCAAGCAGGAAATGGCACAGGGATTTCTGCATATTGCACCTTTAATGTCCATGAAAATAATGCTTTTATGACCCTCCATTTTGTAATAGTGCATGGTGTGCAGTCTGAACTAATGCTTTTTGATGGAGGGAGAAAAAATTGCTCTGTTACTCACTGTTTTTAATTGAGCTAATTTGTAAAAGGATTGATCAGAAATTATTTATTGAAAACATAAATCTGGTTGTTGGCTTTAGGATAGATTATTCCTATAACTCTGATTTATTAAATTGATGATGCATATCCTTTCAAAATATAGCTTATTTGTGATAGTTATTCATTATTTTGAAAGCTTCCCTCACAAGCCTGCAAGACATTTGTAAAGTGGCACAACCATTTAGCGATTTCCTTGTGTACAGAAATAAAAGTTTATGGTATTAAGGGAAGAGTTTGAATGCCTGCCAAACATATATTGCACACATGGACCATACAGTACTCGCACTGTCTGGGAGTTTTTAACATATAATCTAATATCTCCAAAAGAAAAGAGCCATATGTGACTCGGCGCTATTACCAACCTCTAGTTCGAAAGAAATTTGATATGTCTCACTATCCATATCAATTGGATGTCACCGGGTTCGAATATTTCATTATGAATAAAAAAAATAAGAAAAGTAGAATCAAAAACACTATTCTGTATTCATCCCCTAGTGGAATTTTCCATGCAGTAATAGCGAAGGCTGCTCATTTGTCATTACCCAATGAAAAGGGGGGAAAGAGTGTAGGGAAGGGAGAGGGAGCCAGTGAAAACAGGCAACTCGATTTATTTTAAACGAGGGGTAATGAACAGATGTCAGAGCCATTTATCTGCACAGCTTTCGCTGCATGTGGTTTCTCCCTCCACTTCAACAATGTCATGTTTACAATTCGAGTGGGGTATTTAACTCCAGTGTTCTTTTAAAAAGTAGGTGCCTTTGGCCCGGGGTCTGGGTCTCTTAATGCCATATCATACAGCAGGAAGGGTTATTTGTCCTTTTAGCCCACCAAGGATTGTAATTACCTCCTAATTTAGTTTTCCTCCTTAAAAAGGTCTGCCCGTTTCGGCCGGCCCACTAAGGGCTGATGTGTTGATGTGGCTGTCACCTTTTTTACTTTCTCTCTAATGCTCATATTGTGTGTGTGTGTGTGTGTGTGTGAAATTCCACAAAATGACTGACTTGTCTATCATGTTTTTGTGTGTGAGTTGGCATGCGCTTCTGTCTGTGTGTGTGAGGGGAGTGAGGACGTGTGTATATGTGTCTGTGGGAGAACATATTCTGGTGAATGCCTGACTTGTGTGGTGTGTCTAATACAGACTTTTTGCATATTGTTATTTTTGGGATAGTTTTGAGTTCCCCAGGAATTCACACCCTTACTGCTCCACACCCAAGTGAACATTATGGATGGGCATTTATTTTTAGTCCACTGCACATGTTCATACATGTTCACTCTGCGAGAGCCTGTGGATAGGACTTAAAGCTGCAATATGTAACTTTTTGGGCGACCCAACCAAATTCACATAGAAATGGGACTTATAGATCTGTCAAGTCTCATGAAAGCAAGTGCGGTATTTCTATGCTTCCCGTTCTTAAGTTTCGTTTTTGCATCTTTAACTTCCGACTTCAAACAGCTGAAAATACAAGATATTACACAGCGGTTTAGATGGTACAATGATTGTCTACAGTATACTTGCTTGTTTTGTCACATAAACTGAAAATAGACCAACTATTTGAACTGTAGCAACCAGGAAATGGTGGAGCGATTTCTGCATTGTGCATCGTTAAGCATTTTTAAATAGATATCATAATCTTGTGACGTTGCTGTGGTCTTATGGCACTTTGCAGTCTCTGGACTCCGGAGACATTGGAGAGACACAGTAATACTTTTACACACTGATCTCAGAGCAGATACAGATGTAGGATCTTTATTTGAACCAGTTTCTACTGCAGGAACATAATCCTGCAGCAACAGGAAATGCAAATTATTATGTGGATTGTAATTAATGGATGGAGTTGTTGATACATTTTTCATTAGAACAAATCAAGTCTGACATTTTAAAGTCGAAATTACAAACTTTAGATGCCTTTTTAAACCTCGAATACACTACATGTTTGCAAATTAATCTGTACTGCATTAAGAAGGCAGGGAAAACCAGACTTCATAGTAGCAAGATTACAACGAACAAGGTGCATTCAATTATGTCAACTATGACAATAATCCCTCGCGTAACACAAGCCCCATCTTTTCCCACCTAAAATCCCCAGACTTGATTAAACTACACAAAAATTAAAATACATTTCATTCCATAGTAGAAATGTTCTGGTATTTATTTTATTGCTCATATTTCAGAGGACGTTTCACTTGACTGACTGGAGCGGTCATATAATAAATGGTGTATGTAGCTAGTCTCTTCAGGCAGTTTTAGGAGCGACCGACTCTGTTTCAGTCATTACATATCGTCTAGAAAGTGACGTCAGGCTGCTTTAAACCACATGAGGATCAAGACCTCCCACTTACAAACACTGGATAGCCTACCAATTATAAAACCTCTCTGGCTCCGGGATATTTCACACAGCAGCCCTTATGTTTTCGATTTGAGACGTTTTGTTGCAGACTTCGAGGTCAAGGTGTGTAGGATGTTGAAATTCAGGGAACATGTTTGACTGCAAGGTTGGTTTGGTTTGTTGCGTTTACTAGACAACAACCTTGACGGTTGATCCCTGTGAGGCACTCTCGATGTTCACGCCTGCACAACCATTTTCATGCTTTTTGGAAATAGGGGGTGGATTTGTTGTGTATAAGTATGGAACAGGTGTTTCTTTAATAGTATTCTGAGATAAACCCCTTTGTTCTACCATATAGCTTGTGGTTGGCTGCATTGTCAACTTGATCATCAAAACAATCTCAGTTTGCTATTTCCCTTGTTGAATAACACGAGGGAATCCATTTGTAATAAAGTCTAATAGACTGCATTGTTATACAGTGTGTATTACCATATAAATCAGCTGCATTTATCGCAAGTGTTCAAGTTCTATAGACTTCACATCTCCTCTATCTGCTCAATTCAATTCATCTTCACTTTATCAATGAATCGCTGGTCATGGAATTGTGAAATCTGATAAACCATTCTAAACTGAGCTCACCTCTGTGTGTGTATATATAGATAATAAGCTGTTCTCTTCATTCCTGGTATCAGGGTCTTATTGTGTAACCTATGTCTTTCTGTGCTGTTTCTGGCTGGGTGTTGCCAGGATGGCTTTTCCCCAGTGCCTGTGTGTGGGACTGACTGACTGACTGACTGACATATTGCACTGTTTGTATGTATTGCTCTGTGTTCACTTTTTTATATATTTTTTATTTTCACACACACAAAAAAAAGATGAGTTAAAATACAAATTAAAAGTGCATGGGGCTTGTAAAGCACCTTCCTCTTTCAAATATTTATCAAAAAATAAAGAGTAGGATTGTGATAAAAATTAAATTAAATAGTTGCAAATAATACTAAGGAAAATAAAAGATTCAAGTAAATCAGGGGAAGATAAAATACATTAAAGTGAAATGCATAATCAACATGAGTTACAGAAACGTTTCTTCCTCTTCGTCATTGTGTTCCAGGTGACGCTGGGAGGCACCTTCATTGGTATCGGGAGGAAGACTCCGGACTGTCAGGGAAACACCAAGTACTTCCGCTGCAAGTTCTGTAACTTCACTTACATGGGCAGCTCCTCCTTGGAGCTGGAGCAACACTTCCTGTCTGCCCACCCGAACAAGATGAAGTCCCACCCCCCGCCGCTGCCCAACGACGACAAGCGCTCGGACAGGAGGGGGAACTGTGTGACACGGGGCGGTGGCGTGGAGGGGGCGGAACCAGGAAAGTGGGTGGACCGGGTGGCGGTCCGTGCAGAGGACGACTCGGTGGCTGGCTACTCCGTTCCCATCCGCGCCACCGACTCCCCTGGCTGGACGGGGGCCGATGGCGGGGCCACAGCGGTGGCCTATTACTGGTGTAAGTACTGCAGCTTCAGCTGTGAGTCGCCCAGCTCACAACGCCTCCTTGAGCACTACGAGAAGAGACACAACCAGCCTGGAGGAGGAGGAGGAGGAGGAGGAGGAGGGACCAGGGAGGGCAGCCCAGCCGAGAGGGAACGAGGGAGCAGCAAGGCCAGGGACAGAGAGAGAGACCCAGATCGAGACCTGACCCCCCACAGCCGGAGGAAAGAAAAGACAGGAACGGGTGGCACGACGGGGGCAACAGACCCAGAGACGGTGGTGACAAGCTACAACTGCCAGTTCTGTGACTTCCGCTACTCCATGAACCACGGGCCCGAGGTAATCGTGGTGGCGCCTCTGCTCCGCCACTACCAGCAGGCCCACAGCATCCATAAGTGCACCATCAAGCACTGTCCATTCTGCCCGCGCGGCCTCTGCAGCCCCGAGAAGCACCTGGGGGAGATTTCCTACCCGTTCGCCTGCAGGAAGAGTACCTGCTCCCACTGTGCCCGCCTCCTCCTCCAGCTGTCTCCCCAGGGCAGCTCCCCGTCCCCCAGGCCCAGCGTCACCCACCTGTGTGACCAGTGTCCCTACGCTACCAGCGACATCGACCTGCTCCTGCTGCACTACGACAGCGCCCATGCCACCCACGGCGTGCTGGAGGTCAAGCCCGAGGAGGAGGGCGCAGAGTCGGGGAGGATCTTGGCCCCCAAGGGCCCTCACGGGGAGCACTCGTGCACCAAGTGCCATTTCATCACAGATGTGGAGGAGGATATCTTCCGTCACTACAGGTGAGTAGTGGGGAGTTGAGTTGAGTTTATTTGCAAACAGGTTGCTCACGTTGTAGTTAGTCGACCAGTCAATTAGTTAAGGTTTGGTTCAGCTTCACATTGAAAACCTGATTTTCATTGGTAAAAATGTTAGTTCAGTGTGGTATCATGCATCATGGCTCAGTGTTCAAGTCCAGCTAGTGTAAGCATTGTTGACATTGTTCTTAATTCAACTTTGGGTTATGAGATTATCTGTTGTTGTGACGTTGAAGTAAATGCAGTTTAGCTCATAATGAGCAGCAGCTTTGCGCTGACACACACAGTACATGTAGTTAATCAACTTTAGGGAATCGATAGTGAAATGTTAAAAGTCAGGTAATTCAATAACCCCTTTTGTGGGTTTAGATTTAGTCTTGCCTTTGCCAAGTGTGTGTGTGTGTGTATTTATGTGTGAGTGCCTGCCTGTGTGCGTGTGTATCGGGGGTGAGGGGTTATGGAAAATACTCTGCAACAGAACCATATAATAGATAACTGAGCCACTGAAATCACTCTATTACCTTCTGTTATACCTCCACATAAGATATCAATTACAGAGCATTTTTCCTTTTCAGCTCAGCGGCCTGTTTAGATTTGGCTGTTTCGGAATGTATTGATAGAAGTGAGTCTTGTGCAGAAGCTCGATCCATATGTCTGCTTAAAGCCTTTACAGACGCAGTGCCAGAGCGCTAAGAAATCAATTATGGTAAATCTAATAGAAGTGCAATGCAGGAAATGTAAAACTTGTATTTGAGGTTTAAAAAGGCTTCTGATGTTTGTAATTTCCACTTTGAAATTACAGACTTGATTTTCCCTTACAAAAAATGTATCAACCCCTACAAAAATTTCCATGAATTCTAATCCACATAATAATTCACATTTCCTGTTGATCACTTGTTGGAGGCTTAATTTCTGCAATGCTTATAAAATGCTCACCGCTTTAGGCAAAGTCTTAAAGGTTGAGACAAAGCAGCTAAAATGGCTACCCTTAGTGTGTGAGAAAAAGGGGTATTGAGTGTGTGTGTGTGTGTGTGATGTCCATCATGATCCGTAGAACCTGGCAGGTTTGTTCAGGTGGGCTCGGAGGGGCTCTGTTTCCAGACCCTGACGTTGCTGTGTGTGTCTGTGTGTGTGTGTGTGTGTGTGTGTGTGTGCTGAATAAGGTGCTTTTTGTATTCAGGCCTCATAGCCCTAATGCATAGAGGAGAGAGCAGAAATCAGACGTGCTTCTGCTGGGGTTCCCAGGAGATACCCTGCCTCAGACACTGTGTGTGTGTGTGTTTGTGTGTGTGCATGTGTGCATGTCATAGGAGGCTGGTGGGAGGAGCTATAGTAGGACCGGCTGATTGTAATGACTGGAATGGAATCATGGAACAGACTCAAACGTGGTTCCCATATGTTTGATGTGTTTGATACCGTTCCATTAATGCCATTCCAGCCATTACAATTAGTCCATCCTTTTATAGCTCCTCCCACCAGCCTCTGCTGTTTGTATTGGTCTTTGTGCATATTACACTCTGTTCCATTCAACTACAATACATACCTGGATATGTGTGTGTTGTGGTGACTACAGTCTGTGGTGTGTCTCTGTGAGTTAGCATGTCGTACATGATGTCTGTTGTACAGGGAGAGTAAAGCTTACCATATGCCTCCCAATCGAAACAGTTTGCGCATATATTATGCTGACATTTTGTGATGTTTTTGTTAGTTTTGGTCTTCGGCAGGTTTTTTCCGGCTGTTCGTGCACACACATTTTTTTCTTGAGGCACGTTGAAGTTCTGTAGCTGAACTCTACGTCCCTTGGTTGGTACAACTCCTTCATTCTTCAATGAAGTGCTTGTTTTCATTCAATGAGAAACAACTAGTTTTTTATGAACATTTTTTCACTTGAGAAATACTACACCAAACATCTTAGTTAGATGTAAAATTGCACGACTAAGACCTCCTCGGAAAAAAACGTTAAAATTAATGACAGATTTCTTGATTTATCTTAGGATAATTTGGACTATTTTGAGGAAGTGTTTCTGGCTATGTTGCTACGGTGGCTCAAGAGGGACAAACAACAATAATATTGACACTTTTTTTCATGCTTCCAAGCGAAGGTCTTTTAAGGAGTATGAGAGCACAGATGGTGCTTTGCCTAGCCGAGTTCGCTAGGAGCAAACCAAACCTATGTATGCAGACGCCTTAATGGTCTGTACTGGTCTGGATCTGTGCTGTAGATTTATGTTCTGGTCACCTCCTCACTCACCTCCAGACCCCACCCACCCTGCAGCCTGGACGTGAACACCATACTAATGCTGAGCCATCGTACACACACACACATAAACACACACATGCACATGCACACACATTAGCAAACACACACACACACACACACACACACACACACACACATACAGCCTACCCAACCTGTCTGAGGCCATCCCTATAAATCAACCTCCAGTGAGAGCAGAGCAGAGGGGGGAAACATTCTCTATCAGGAACAATGAAGAGATGAAGAGGTGTATCACAATGTAATATTGAGCAGCACAGAGCACACACACACGTTACATTTTCTGTCAGCCTTTAGGCCTTACAATATTTACAGAGCATCGTTACCCTGCACAGCTCAGGTATGAAAGACTTCCACTGTAACATGTTTTACCCCCTGCCTCTCCTTCTCAGCCCCCCGAGCCTCTCCAGCTCAGCCCCCCCCCCTGCCTCTCCAGCTCAGTCCCCCCCCTGCCTCTCCAGCTCAGCCCCCCAGCCTCTCCAGCTCAGCCCCCCCCCCCCCAGCCCCTCCAGCTCAGCCCCCCCTGCCTCTCCAGCTCAGCCCCCCCCAGCCTCTCCAGCTCAGCCCCCCCCAGCCTCTCCAGCTCAGCCCCCCAGTCTCTCCAGCTCAGTCCCCCCCTGCCTCTCCAGCTCAGCCCCCCCCAGCCTCTCCAGCTCAGCCCCCCAGCCTATCCAGTTCAGTCCCCCCCCCCAGCCTCTCCAGCTCAGCCCCCCCTGCCTCTCCAGCTCAGCCCCCCCAGCCTCTCCAGCTCAGCCCCCCCAGCCTCTCCTGCTCAGCCCCCCAGCCTATCCAGTTCAGTCCCCCCCCAGCCTCTCCAGCTCAGTCCCCCCACAGCCTCTCCAGCTCAGCCCCCCCCATCCTCTCCAGCTCAGTCCCCCTCCAGTCTCTCCAGCTCAGTCCCCCCCCCAGCCTCTCCAGCTCAGTCCCCCCACAGCCTCTCCAGCTCAGCCCCCCCATCCTCTCCAGCTCAGTCCCCCCCCCCAGTCTCTCCAGCTCAGTCCCCCTCCAGCCTCTCCAGCTCAGCCCCCCCTGTCCCGGATTATCAGTCTCCTCTCTCTGCATCCTGCCTAGTGTACCTGTACAAGGGGAGGAAAACCCTTCCAGCTCCCTCCTTCTCCCCCTCCTCCTCTTCCTCAGGGAGAGGTGTACGGAGCAAACCAGCTACCAGTCGTGCTGGGCCAGAGTTTCCATTTCCTCAGTGATGTCAGGGTATCTGTCCGTCACGATGGTGTGATTCAGTCCAGTTCGCCCCACAGCTCTGCATCTGCCGACCGGCCCTCGTAAAACACCCAATATTGAGCATGTTCACTGGTGTGGGAGTTTCATTTCATAGCGCACAAATTACATCCACTCAATACTGACACAGACATTTTTTTTTTACTACATCAATAAAATCATTGTTATGTATTTTGGAGAGAGTGCAGATTTTTTGATACTGCAATCATGTTGAGAGCAGCGGTTTAATACCATCAATGGCCGTGGAAATTAAACACAAATTATTTTTTGCCACCTATCTCTAACTTTTCTCTTTCCCCTCTCCCTCTGTCATACACACACATCATATACAGTACCAGTCAAATGTTTGGACACACCTACTCATTCAAGGGCTTTTATTTATTTGTACTATTTTCTACATTGTAGAATAATAGTGAAGACATCAAAACTATTAAATAACACATATGGAATCATGTAGTAACCAAAAAAGTGTTAAACAAATCAAAATATATTTTATATTTGAGATTCTTCAAATAGCCACCTTTTGCCTTGATGACAGTTTTGCACACTCTTGGCATTCTCTCAACCAGCTTCACCTGGAATGCTTTTCCAACAGTCTTGAAGGAGTACCCACATATGCTGAGCACTTGTTGGCTGCTTTTCCTTCACTCTGCCGTCCGACTCATCCCAAACCATCTCAATTGGGTTGAGGTCAGGGGATTGTGGAGGCCAGGTCATCTGATGCATCACTCTCCTTCTTGGTAAAATAGCCCTTACACAGCCTGGAGGTGTGTTGGGTCATTGTCCTGTTGAAAAACAAATGATCGTGCTACTAAGCCCAAACCAGATGGAACTGCGTAACTCTGCAGAATGCTGTGGTAACCTTGCTGGTGTGCCTTGAATTCTAACTCTGTGTGATGAGTGTGATTAGAAGGAGTCAGGCGCAGGAGGGTAAATCACTGAATACAGAGTTTATTCCGTCGTACACAGTTGCGCTGGATAGCGACAACAAAATACAGGCACAGGGGAACAATCTACCCCGGCAATACAAGGTATGGGTAGCTCCAACAAAATACAGGCACAGGGGAATAATCTACCCCGGCAATACAAGGTACTGGTAGCTCCAACAAAATACAGGCACAGGGGAATAATCTACCCCGACAATACAAGGTACGAGCAGCTCCACCGAGCTACACTCAACTCACATAAAACAATCACCCACAAGGACAAGGGGGCAGAGGGAACACTTATACACAGACTAATGAGGGGATATGAACCAGGTTTCAATTACACACAAGACAAGACAAGACAAGACAAATGGAATGATGATATATGGAGCGGCAGTGGCTAGTAAGCCGGTGACGACGAACGCCGAAACCTGCCCGAACAAGGAGGGGAGACAGCCTCAGCGGAAGTCGTGACAGTACCCCCACCTTGACACGCAGCTACAGCAGCGCGCCGACCCCGGCCTCGGGGATGGCCAAGAAGAAGCGGAGCAGGGCGAGCCGGATGGCGACGGTGGAAATCCCGCAACAGGGGATATCCCTCACCGGGACCCAGCACCGTTCCTCCGGACCATACCCCTCCCACTCCACGAGGTACTGAAGGTCCCCACCCGACGTCTCGAATCCAGGATGGAACGGACAGAGTACGCCGGGGCCCCCTCGATGTCCAGAGGAGGTGGAGGGACCTCCCGCACCTCAGACTCCTGGAGCGGACCAGCCACCACCGGCCTGAAGAGAGACACATGAAACGAGGGGTTAATACAGTAATCAGGGGGAAGTAATAACCTATAGGTGACCTCGTTGATTCACCTCAAAACTTTGAACGGCCCCACAAACCGCGGGCTCAGCTTCCGGCAGGGCAGGCGGAGGGGCAGATTCCGGGTTGAGAGCCAGACCCGATCCCCCGGTACGAAGACCAGGGCCTCACTGCGGTGGCGGTCAGCGTTGGCCTTCTGACGACGCACGCCGCGTTGGAGGTGAATGTGGGCAGCGTCCCACATCTCCTCCGCGCACCAAAACCGGTCATCCCCCGCAGGATCCTCGGTCTGGCGCTGGTGCCACGGTTGGTAACCTAAAACAAATTGAAATGGTGTTAGGTTAGTAGAGGAGTGGCGGAGAGAGTTCTGGGCATATTCTGCCCATGGCAAGAACACTGACCACTCCCCCGGCCGGTCCTGGCAGTAGGACCGCAGGAACCTACCCACATCCTGATTTACCCGTTCCACCTGCCCATTAGACTCGGGGTGGAAGCCAGAGGTCAGACTGACCGAGATCCCCAGACGTTCCATGAACGCCTTCCAGACCTTGGATGTGAACTGGGGACCTTGGTCAGACACTATATCCTCTGGTACCCCGTAGTGCCGGAAGACGTGTGTAAACAGGGCCTCCGCAGTTTGCAGAGCCGTGAGGAGACCGGGCAGAGGAAGGAGGCGGCAGGCCTGGGAAAAGCTGTCCACAACGACCAGGATGGTGCTGTTACCTTGGGAGAGGGGAAGATCAGTCAGGAAATCAACACTTAGCTGAGACCATGGTCGTTGTGGAACTGGTAAAGGTTGTAACTTATCCGCTGGGAGGTGCCTAGGTGCCTTACTCTGGGCGCACACCGAGCAGGAGGAGACATACACCCTCACGTCCTTAGCCAAGGTAGGCCACACACACACACACACACATTGTCACAACACAACTGATTGGCTCAAACACATTAAAAAGAAAATAAATTCTACAAATTAACTTTTAAGAAGGCACACCTGTTAATTGAAATTCATTCCAGGTGACTACTTCATGAAGCTGGATGAGAGAATGCCAAGAGTGTGCAAAGCTGTCATCTAGGCAAAGGGTGGCTACTTTGAAGAACCTCAAATATAAAATATATTTTGATTTGATTAATAGTTTTTTGGTTACTACATGATTCCATATGTGTTATTTCATAGTTTTGATGTCTTCACTGTTATTCTACAATGTAGAAAATAATAAAAATAAAGAAAAACCCTTGAATGAGTAGGTGTTCTAAAACCGGTAGTGTATATATATATTTTCAAAAAAATGTATAGGGGGTTGGAAGTGATGCAGACAATTACATTGATGGAAGCTGCAATCTATCTGCTATATTAAAGCTGATCTACCCCTTAAAAAATATAAATAAAATACAATTACACCAGGGCCTGGCCTATGTTAAAAGTGTTTAAAAAAAAGTATAAGATACTTAAAATGCTTAAAAGACAAAAAGCGATTGTGATTGTGTTGAATTGTGTTTGGGAAATAAAGATGGACATGGTTAAAAAGGTAGTGGTAATATTTAATTCAGTACAGACATATGTAGGCAGCTTAACTTACCCTAACCCGCGGCTCAATTTACCCCATGCCCTGGATTATTTCCAGGGATGCACAACATCCTGAAATATATGTTGACATTTTTGTTAAAACGAATACTATATTTCCCTTGACAGAGTAATGTTGAATGTAAAAAATGGCCCAACTTACCCCACTCTCCCCTACTCTGCTAATTCAATTTATAGATATAATTGTTCTTCTCATGGCTCAAACAATTACTCAAAGGTTAAATTATTTTTTAAGCCACAAAGGGACAAGACGAACAATGCATTTAAATGACTGTTAAACAGTTAGTTTGTAAATTGGAGGAAAATGATGTTAACTTTTCCTTAATTGAATTAAATAAATTAAATAATGTTGCCTTTTGATCACTCTACTGTGGAAACAAATAAACACTTTTCACAGCTTTGTGTAAAAATAATTGTTAATACTAAAACTATTTATATGGCAGTAATTGAGCCATAAATGTTGGTATTCTATTTGAAGAAACACCTCAATTAAACCACCTCATTATTCCCAGGTCTGTAACTTGTTAAATTTAGAGTGGGTACTAGGTCATGAATAAAGCAAAAATCATTAAAAATGATCTATTCCCAAGTATGAATTTAGATATATAAATATACTGTAAAATGTCTGCATTTTAGCTGATAATATGGTGTTTATTTGAAACTTTAAATAATATTTTGTTGAACAGCATTACAATTTTGTAAAACAAAATGTTAACTTTTATGTATCAGTGCTGTCTAAGTCTGACCCTAATCCAATCAATAAACATCATCAAATCCTATATACATTTTAGCAGAAACAATATCTGGCAAATGATAGTCTACTGTAATTATATATTACAGCCAGGGAACATCCAGAGAAGAGCCCGTTACACCACGTCCCTGGGCTAGCCAATGATCAACTCTCGGTTTTGGGTCGACAGAAATATTTGTGTTTGCTGTCAGTGAGGTCGGCAGAGGAGAGGATAGCGATTTAGAGCGAGAGAGAGAGAGAGAGAGAGAGAGAGAGAGAGAGAGAGAGAGAGAGCTCTATGCTAGAGATCGTAGATCGAGCGTCTCTCGCGAGCTCCTCCCTCTCTCTCGCTCTCGAGACGCGCTCTCTCTCTCTCTCTCCTCGCTCTCTCTCCTTGCCTTCTCTCTCTCTCTCTCGTCTCCTCTAGAGAGGCGAGAGAGATCTCTTCTCCTTTTAAAGCGTAATGATAAGTGAAAGTGTCTGTGGCTGGAAGGATTGGTCGTGGAGGAGGCTCTGTCTCTATCGCTCACCATAACTCCCATCTAATAAAACCACGGAAAACAACCAGTGTGTCTCAGGTTGCACACTTGTCCGTTTATTCTCACGAAGCTGTAATTGAATTTCTATGTAATGTCGTTTGTTTTCTGGGATTGGAGGAAAATAGTTGTTTTATGATGAAGAAAACCATGCTACGCTAGCCCAGAGGATAGATGCGTTGGCTGAGTGTGTGCAATGTGAGTGATGAAACGTATGCTGGTCTGTGTATATGTGCGTGCGTCAAGCATGCGTGTGTCTGTTTCTCTGTGTGTCTTATTTTGTGTATGTTAGTGAGAGTACATGCTAATATACTGTCGATTTTCCGCACTATCGCAAATATGCTTGTGGCCCTGTGTGTGTGACAGGGCTCTACAGTGCAAACATTTTACTTGCATATGTGCCTAAATATTTTGCTGTGCGACCTGGGATTTTTACTTAGGAGCACCAGTGCGCCTA